TGTGTGTGTGTGTGTGTGTGTGTGTGTGTGTGTGTGTGTGTGTGTGTGTGTGTGTGCGTGTGTGTGAATTATGTATAAAATAGATACCAAAGTGACTATTATATAGTTTATAATTGCAGTAAGGCAACTAGAGCTCGAGAGGTACTCGAATCTATATCACTATTGATACAGTTTAACTTCTTCAATATCATAATGCTCGATATTTAAAAAGTTTCACAAATATTTCCGATAATTTTACATGTGTATCAGCGTCTTGTTAATGTCAAAACAGCACAATGCCAGCAAATAAAACTTGGTAAGTTTCATTTGGCATGACAAAATTCACATCTATCTACAATTAATAGAAACCAGCTCAATCAGCATCGCGATTGTCTCATGTTACTCGTGAACAACGAATCTAGAACGATAATTAAATTTCATGATTGAACTCATACACAACTGCGCACAAAATTTACCAAGCTTTATTCAAAATATCCCGTCTCATCTGTATTTTCGTACGATCTGTAACTCAATTTTCAACTCCAGGATTTACATGTAGCGAAAATGATAAAAATCGAAAAGATTATATATACAATATAGGATTACATCCGCACACAGTGTAATATCCAGAGGATTTTCCATTTATATTGCATGTTATCAAAAATCGTCCGATCATGTAGGCACCCGTTTAAAGAATGAACGTAGGATACTGTAGGTATCATTAATATTACGCATAGATTGTGTCTGTGTGTATCCGTGTGAGTTTTATGAACAATTAAAATTCTAAAACTCCTACTAAGTTTACAATGTACGTAGATAATAACATTTACAAAGAAACATTTCTGTGAAAGAATTAGGAGGAGCATTAATTTAAAAGCTACAAATAGCCAAAGTACGACTTTTCGAAAAAGAATTCAGACGCGAAAAAGTGTAGAAAGAATCCAATCCCGCAACCTTATGAGTACGTAGCTCTCATGATCATAACATCGATGTCTAATGTTATTTATGTTGCCAGAGATAGAAAAATTGCACACTGATAAGAGATTACGGTAAAACCCTTGTCGGCCGTTCTTTCGCACGTCTGAATTTAAAAGCTTCTCGCAGGTAAAATCTAATAGCTACCTCAACGTTACACGGTCCTCAGATCACTTTCTACAAGAATAAAAATCAAATCTTAAAACATGTTCCACGTATACGTTCGTAACAGGATATGAACTCGTCTTACAATATACTTTGTTGCAATTAAAATCAATCATATACATACATACATACATATATATATATATATATATGTATATACACAAAACATGTATGATAATATCATATGAGCACATATGATATCATCATGACATGATACGATCATATGATATGATATATATATATACACACTCTATCAATAGAGTCAAGCTATTAAATATAGAAATATCATCAGTTATTCTCTCCAACACATTTGGTTATACGTTTATATATACATAATATGGAGCGGAGCACATGAACTAGTAAAAGTATTTTACCGTAAGCTAGAATACGAATGTACATACAACTAAGTGATCCAAGTATAGCAAATAATGTGTATTACATGATAAACGAACCTGAAGGATTCTCATACGTGCTTGCTTCGCGTGAATGCGAAGTTGACGCGTGTCGAGCGTCGTCAACAATATTATAAAGTTAGTTTTATACGCATAGATTGAACTTCGAATCGTTATCTGCAACATGTCGATAATTGTACAACCTAGCGCCGTTTCAACTTCAATTCTTCATCACACGAGCGAATCTAACTTCTGATTGATCTCATGCTTTCCTCGTGAATCTTTCTCGTGAATTCTCGTCGTTGTTTTGTATTGTGATTATCCTTCAAGCTCTACAAGGATAATCTCAGTGTAATCGCATGCATTTCTGTACACAATAGCGGTATGTAGGCAACAAAGTGTCGAATACAATTCACTTTGCATGCAAAAGGATATATCCATTTGATTGATATTAGCAACAGAACGATGTTTTCGATTGTCAGCGAAAGCATTCTTGTGAATCCGAAATCATTTTCACACATTTATACGAAGAAACTTCTTTGTCAGGAAACCGATATGCTCTGTCGCTTTCAACCCTACAACCGACGGCTGCATCTGGACGTTTCAATCGTTAATTTCAAGAACTTGGGTAGATCACGTACAGACTCTGAGAACCGGAGATCGTAAAAATTCATGTATACTGACTACTCGTTTTTTTGTTTTCTTTGTAACATACACGCATGACAAACCTGAGATTCGATAAAAAAATTTCTTTCGTAAATTTGTCTTCTTATGTGATACGTGTGTATGTGTTTTGCGTGTGTGTATTAATATAGTATTAAAAATAAAAAATCTATACATGTTACAATATGGTGTGTGTGTGTGTGTGTATATATATATATATATTGCTCAGATAAACGCGCCTATAGAGAGATACGGTATCAATACAACTGCGCGGACTCCCATATATAGTACGAAGTAAATTTCTCTCAGTTTACGAGACGTGCTAAAATTCCCGCCCGCAGAAGTTAACGCCGAGAGATGTCGGTCGCATTGTGGCTAGCACCAATCGGCCATGTAGGTGAAGTCCATAAACAGACTTTGCTCCACATCACTGAGAGGCCGAGGATCTTTCGGAGGCGTCAGCTGCGGTTTCTCCGACGTAAATTCTTCGTCAAAATTGCTCACGTCCTCCACCGATTGCTGTACGAGAGAGACAAACACGTTCATTCTGACATCGCGTATCACCTACTCAATATCTAATCGGTGATCTGATACGTGCACAATTCTCGAATATGTGCTGATTCAAAAATGTGTTGCGCGTGAAAATTTCCTCCTGAGAGATAAAGTCAAATCGACACTCACGATTACCGGCACGAAGGGTGGCTTGACGCGCCTCAGGAGCAGGTCGTCCCAAGCAATGTGTCTGAAGAACGCCTGTTTCTTTACGTCTTCCGCGTCCCTTTCGCTGCTGCCTAGCCGTCTGTCGGGATTCTTCCTGAGTAACTGTAACGGAATACACAGAATGGAATAAGACGCACGCGTGAGAGAACGGGATAGAAAATTGGCAGGACAGTGCAGGAAACGCGTACCCTTCTCATGATCGCTATCGCCTCGAGAGAGAGGAATCGTGGATACCGAACCTCGTCGTTCACAATGGAGTCGAATACTTCTTCTTCGTCGTCGCCCGGGAATGGGGACTGCAAACGTTTCGTTCAGTGCTTAATACGCGAGTACCGACAACTGTTGTGATATTTCGCACATCAAGCAAATCAAGTTACCTCTCCGACGAGCATCTCGAATATCAAGACTCCGAGGCCCCACCAGTCTACAGCTCGCGTGTAAGAAGTCTCCGTAAGGACTTCGGGCGCTAAGAATTCCGGTGTGCCGCAGAAAGTACCCGTTCTGTCTCCGTATCCCATGCCCTCCTTGCATAAACCGAAGTCCGCGATTTTAACGTATCCTTCCGTGTCCAACAAAAGATTGTCCAGTTTCAGGTCTCTGCAAGCGGAATGAGATATCACGAAATGGATCACCGAACCAGTGCTTCCTAAGCCGATATTTATAGCCTGTTTTCATATTTAAGATTGTCGTAAGCTCATTTTCAGATGCCGTATAGGTCGTTTCATTGGCTACTGAGCATATGAAGATGAAGCTCAGACGAGCTTAAATAGAAAAACAGACTGTGATGTCGATCTTAATGCGCCCTGGTGCACATTAGTGCGTCTAGAATTCGCCATTAAAGAAAAATCATGAAATATTTTTCTTATCCTGGAAACCCATCATCATGGTTATGACGGTTGGGGCTTAAGAACATTCTATAATAGCGTAAAGTATGCAATAAGACAAAAGCAGCAAGCAAATTGGCTAATTGGATTTTTACGTGTCCAAGAATAATCGACTGTAGTCAGTCAATTAGCTTGCTGCTACGTATTTTACTGCATATTCCGCTATTGTAGAACGGTCTTTAAGTCCAGATCTATAATAGATGTGGCAAGCCTTTAGCCTTTCGTTCTAAGCACTGCATTGTAAATTCTAGCAAAGAAAGAAAAAACGTTTTCAGCGCTACCAGATGTCTCAATTTCTATTTCTTAAGCATTATTATGACCCTTGGCAGCACAGAAAACGCCTTTCTCAGAAATTACGTTACACATAGCTCAGAGAGTAAGAAGCTAAAGGCTTAAGACACCTACTGTAGATCCGGATTGAAGAGTTAACGCTCACGTGTGATGGAAAGCATACCTGTAAATAATGCGATTTTCGTGCAAATATTGCAATCCCAGCACAACACAAGCAGAGTAGAACACGGCGCGCGGCTCCCCGAAGACGTCAGCGTGTATATGCATCATAAGATCACCCCCAGCCGCGTATTCCATCACGAAACATACGTGTGCCTGTGAGAGAAATGTGTCTCTTTTAGCTCTTTGTAAATTACAGAAAAATCAGCCAACAAGGGAGAATCGTCATCGGTACCTCAGTTTGAAAGCACGCGAATAAGTTGACGAGGAAAGGATGGCGCGTCGTGTTCGCTACTTCAAATATTCTCTTCTCCGAAAGCAACGACTCCACTTCGTCCCTGGCTATGATGTCCCCCTTCTTCAGCGCCTTGATGGCGAAGTATTCGCCCGTGTTTCTATACTGAGATAATATCACTTTGCCGAAATGCCCGCGACCGAGCACGGACAGCAGCCTGAAGTTCTCCAGAGTCATGCCGGTGAGCTGAGAGTGTCTTCTCGACTCGTAGGCGCTGTCCCTGTATTGCAGAGGCCTGACCGGCAGCTCACACACAACCTGAAAGGCAGAGATCTCTCTGGTGATTGCAACGTATCGTTTGCGACATGACGTCAGATATGACAAACGCGTCATTATTGAATGCATCATTATGATGTTAGGTACATTAGAGAATTAGAGAATATCTCTCTCTCTGTACACATATCATATGGAGATGTGAACGAATCGTATGTTAGTGTGTCATAAGAAAGAAGACACGCTCTGTCGGATGTGTCCTGTTATAAAATGGCGAATTATATTGCGATACATTGGTTATTTCACTAACTACCAAATCTTCCACGCAATTAACGGTCGCTTGGCGAATATATCCACGTAGCAAAATAGAAAGTTGGAATATATACGCAATGCACAGGTTAAAGATCGAACGAAGAGAGAGATTAGTACGAGAGCACAAAAGAGGATATGGTGAAGATAAAAAAAGAAATAGAAAGAAGATAAAATTACAGAAGATTACAGAAAGAAGTTATACAACGTTCTCTGATCTATCTACACGCAACATACTAAAAGCAAGCGAAGCGATGCTGTGTGTATGTGGAGGTATGTACCTCATCCTCAGGAAACTCGACGACAGGTTGGGGCGAGGGTGTGCGTGGAGAGGGTGGTGCAATCAGCACAGGCCGAGGCTCTGTCACAAGGGGCCTCAAATTTGCACCCTGAGGCCCCCCCTTTTCCTCGTTGTGCAGAAAATCAAACTCCCTTAATGCACTCTGTAACTACATTACTATCTTCTTAGCTCTGACGCTCGATCGGGACCGGCGGTGCAGAATTTTTTTCAAAATTGGACGATCAAGTCTCTATATATAGTTGGTGGTAAAGTTTTTACGTTTCGAAAATATAATAATACAAATCTGTTTCGCGGTATCCGTTGAGTTCTTTGTCACAACAGGGAGTTTGGAATTGCAGCTGGCTAATTTGTAGATTAGAAGGATAGCGTGAATACCTGTAACGCTTCGATCGGGTATGCGAGAGAATCAAATCGGAACTCGGTCGCGAAACAATCGTGGTAATAATATAAGCTGCCAGAAAAAAAAAAAAAGGGAGACTTGCATACATCCGCACTCAATAAAAACGTGTGCGTGTAAAAAACTAAAAGATGTCGTTCTGTTCAAGCAAGTGCAAATTAAACTAACACTACTCTCTATCGCTCATATGTAACTGCGATAAGTACATAATAATACCTGGTAACATGCCGCGTCAAGATATATATGTATGTACATCCATTAGATCGTATAACCTTTCAGAAAAAAATCAATCTAAAGTATGATACAACGTTTTATTTTACTTCGGCCCGCAACCAAGATTCCCAGCCTGAAGAGATCTTAATACACGGGATGGCCTTTAAATGTTCTAAAAGATTTTAAATGATGATTCCTCACGTTAATACAAGACGAAAACTTCATAGGATTGTGTGTCCAAAACGGTTTAATTTCAAAGATACAGAATTGAAGGGAAAATTTCATTTTTTCCAAAAAATTTTCCTTTAACTTCGGCACCTTGTAACTTTGAAATTAAGCTGTTCCGGGCATATGGTCATATGAAGTTTTCGTCTTGAATTAAATCCCCTTAAAATCTCTTAGACCACTCAAGGACCACCCTGTATATATTTTACTACTATATATTCTTATTGTATAAAAGAGAACTGAAAAAGTAGAGAATATGTCCGATATATCGCAAAACATAAGTATAATCAGTTTAATCATACTAATAACGTAATACAAGTTGAATTCGTATCCACAATAGCATCGTATCAACAATTGCGCAAAACGTAAAAAAATCTGCGACATCGGCAATCTTGTATCTTTACATCGAAAGCAGAAATCGACAAATACATATATCGCACTGAACAGCATGTAAACAAATAATATTGTCGCTCATCAGCGTGTCAAAGTTTGCTCGACTTAAAAGTAGTACACGAGAAACGTCCGTATGTGAGCGGACTTACCTCCTGATCCAGTTTCGGAGGCGGTGCGGGTGCGGGCGTGGATGGTTTCTTCACGACGGTCGGCGGCGGTGGAGGCGGATGTTCCGGTGGACGCGGGAGAATTGGACTATTGCTCGATGCCGACATTCCCAGAGGTCGTGCGCCTCCTAGGCCCCCCTTCTCCGGATCGGGTACTTCCCCGGGAGTTTCAGGCTTATCTTCTATTGAGGTATCGAATACAAGTTGCAACGGTTGAGGTCCTAGAAGCGAAGGCGTGTGTAAGGACACTCGTCGTTTGCGAAATTCACGTTGTACGCGAGCCGTTTGTCTCACCTGACGGCGGACTCTCCGAGTTCCTGGAATTGTGTAACGAAGGCGCCGAGCGTTTGAGCAATCTGCCCCAGGTCGCGACGTTGATGTTCATTTGATTGGCCCTCGGGAAATTTTTCACCTGCTGCTTGAAGATCTTACGCTGACGCTGCAACTTGGGCTTGCGCGATATCATCGGGTTCAGGAATTTTATCTCCGCGAAAAGGAGGCCCTGCGGCTCCAACTGTAGCGCCATGCCGTGACGGACGTCGTCGATGAATTCCTCCAGACGTAAGAATTTCACCGCGCACAAGGACCTCCAGTCCTTCCAGTAAATGCCTATCTCGAGTTCTCTCGACTTGTCCAGCTCGATGGAGAACCTGCAGATTTACCCGACACGTGACAGTGCAAGAAAATGATTCCCGACGTCGCGAATGATCTCGATCAATCGACGAGTACCTTTGATCCCAAGCCTGCTGCGAACACGGGCGCCAACTAGTTTGCGCTACGGTTTGATTGTCCAATTTTATAACCGCCATAATGTCGTCTGCAAGGTGAGAATAATTGCCATTAGCGACGCGTTCCAAAGGAGGAAGATACGGAAAAAAGTATAGATACAAGAGATACAGGAGAGAGAAATGGATGTAAAAGATATGAAGGGAAAAATATCGATACAGAAGGTACGTAGATCAAAGAAACAGCCGAGATATCGAAGATAACTCACTGCTTGTCTCGTCCTTCACACTATACGACTTGCTCGAGCTGCGACCCGTGACACCCTTGACGAAGCTACGCAGATCAGGACTAGCAGGATGTTCCCTCCTCGTACGTCCCGGCACTTCCTCCGCCAAGTCTTGACATCCCATTAATCTTACCTGAAGTCATTCTCACAGCGTTAGACAGAGAGCAACGGCGCGGCACGCTCAGTCAATCTTTGCAATTACGCAATCTCTGCTCATCATTCGTACCTCTAGTTGTCCTGTGACAGCTGCACATCTCGATACCGAAGCCGGCACCGTAGCCCGACCTTCCAAGGGGCCGCGGAACGGTTGCAGCGACGTGTATGTCACAGGAACCGGGCTGGCCGACTGTACGCTAGCTAATTCTCTCTTTAACTGAGCCGCGGTACCGCTGTCGGGTGGTAGCTCCTGCCTTCTGAGTTCGAGGGACAATCTGAGTAAGTCCAATTTTCTACTGGATTCCGCGAGGCTTGCCTGAGCCTATGGTAATTCACCATTTATGTAAACAGACATCCATCAGACAAATATGTATAACCAACGTATAGCATTACGAATGTGTCTACGATATACAAGGCGAACACACACAAGGGGAGTCATGGATCATTGATATTTATTAACAACAACGCAATCTCGGCAAGATACATCCTTGTTAACTCTCATAAATGCTCGATTCCCAGCAGAATGTGCGGCGTGGCGGCCCCCGTGGACTACGAATTCGAATAGAAAAAGATCTACGATATATAGTATAATGCGTGGAATACTTCAGAAGGACATATATACATATATATATATATATAATAAATTAAACACACGAATCACGATACACGAGGAGTTTCCGCAGCGTCCTCTTCGACTGACGCCAGGAACAAAGCGCGACTGGTACTACGCACCGAGCTCGGGTGCTCCGCAAGGCCACGATCCAGACTCGATTATGCGAGTCTTACTTAATTTCGCGACTCGGTAAAGTCTAGAAGAAGAAGAAGACCGGTGTGTGCGCCGGTGGAAGCCCGCGAGGATGAACGCTCGTCACTCCTTGGGCGACTTGAAGCCCGGGTGACGCTCGAGCTCGCTCAACGAGGAGGAGCGTCCCTTCGCCTCCTCCTCGAAGAACCTGCGGCAATGCTCGCAGAGGCACGAGGGATTCTTCGCGGGGCCGATGTGGTGGCCGGGCTTCCGGAACGCGCTGATCACCGCGCCGAACACGGAGGCCTTCGCGATGTGCTCGGTCCGTTCGCCGTGCGGGGTGGTGAAGGGCGAGGTCACGCGGGAAGGTATGGTCGAGGGGAGAGGGGACGGGCTCTTGGAGCCGAACGGGCCGATGCGGTCGCGCAGGACGGAGTGCGGAGGAGCGTGGTCGCGCGTCGCCCGTGGGCCTTCTTCCTCCGGGGCGGCGCTTCTGCGAGCGACGGCCTGTTTCGCGGCTCGTGAGCCGCTCCAGCCGACCGGGCCGCTCTCGTCGGACTCCTCGGCGCTGTCCGCGGACGACCAGGCGATCTCGTGCTTCTCGAAGTACTCCTTCATCTTCTTGTTCCGCAAGAGCTGCCTGCGCTCGATCTGCGGCGACCGCCAGGTCTTGCTCTTCTCCCTGTCGGCGCCCAGGTCCATTCGCCGTATCCGCTCGCGGTCCGTCGAGTTGGCGTACTCGAAGCTCTCGCACGGCGTCAGGGCCGACGTGCTGTTGAGCAGGGACTCGATGTCGGTGTCCTTCGACGACGTCATGGTCGCCGAGTCGCACGAGACCGCCGTGCTGGACGACGCGGCGGACCAGGGCGCCGAGTCGAGGTCTCGTAAGGCGGTGTACGAGCTGAACCGCGAGGGGTACAGCGAGCTCAGCACCTCGTCGCTGTCGTAGCCCTTCGAGCTCGCCAACGACGGCATCCTCATCGGCGCGTTGCGGAAGCTCGCGCATCGTCGCTCGGCGGTGCGCTTCAGGAACGCGTTCTCGTCCTCGAATCCGCGGGGCAAGTTGTTGGTCGCTTGCGTGTGCGTGATCCTGACGTCCTCGTTCTCGAACACGGTCATCGGCGTGCTGCGCTCGTCGTCGCTGCTCGTGTCCGTCACGCTGAGATCGTCGTCCGAGCCTGTGCAGTACACGTCGATATGCACCGTCCGCGATTTCCGCTTGCTGTCCTCTCGCGTCGACGAATCGGATTTCTCGGAGTCGGCCAGGGGAGCAGGAGGAGCGGAACCACCAGTCGCCGCTGACGCCGGGGGCGACCGAATATCCTGCTGAAAGAAGGACGGTTGTAACGGCATTCACTCCGTCACTTTCGACGCGCTGACCGCCACCGGTCGTTTCCACCGATCGCTGAAATCTCGAAGACGCGGTGAAGGAATGCCACTCGCGTGTCCTCGTCGGCTCCGTATTGGCTGTACGTTTCTGTTAGGGTACCCACGAGTGATCGAGTATTCCCAAGACTTTTGTTCTTATTCTTGTCAGTTTCTATTTGAGAGAATTGCGTAGGAGAATGGAAAATAACAAAATAATACTTTGCAAAACTAGCATGTGCAACTGTGTACATATATTTACCTCAACTTCATCTCGAATTAACAGTTATCGTTTAGATAGTGAAATAAATGAACGTAATATCTTGATTGACAAACGTACAAGTGGACCCCTTTGACGCGCCATTGTTGAAAATACGACGCCTTAAGATCTCCTCGAACGTATTTGATTTCAGAGGTGGTCGATCACTCACGGGTATCCCTAATAACTCGTACGCAATTGGTCAGGTTTTGCCCCGAAATTTGCAAAAGGTGGCAATGCCGAGGACCAGGGCGGTCAACGCGTCAACCTCCTTACGTCGCCTACCTCTTTCTTCTTCTCGTCAGACTGACCGGCGGCAGTGGCCGGTCTCCTCCTGACTCTGCTGCCCCTCGACAGGGTCGACGAGGAGCGCGCGGACTCGATGTCGGTGGTCTGCGAAGCGGCGTCTTTGCTAGCCGTCGCGGCGGCCGCTCTATTCGCGCTCTTCTCCGCGACCCGCGTGCAAAAGTGCGTGGTGAAGGCGCTGGACGCGGCGCTACCCTCGGCGCAGTCCTCGCACACCTCCGGTACCGCGCTGAACGGATAACGCGGGAACAGCTGTCGACGATGCTGCCACGAGTCTCTCGGGGACCTGGACGACGGGCTGCTCTTGCCGTCCGCGGCGGACTGCTGCTGCAGCACGATGCTGCACGTGCTCTTGCACCTGCGGTTGTACTGCTGGGACGGCCGTCGCGTGGGTAGACTCGAGTACGCGTGCGGATGCTGCTCGCTGGTGTAGCCGGAGTCGTTCGCCCGGCCCCTGGCGGACGAGATGGAGTCGTCGTTGCCGGACGAGCCGGATCGTGGCAGAGTGTAAGAGCCGGCGGACGGTCTCTCGGGCGGCGTGGACGTGAAGAGTATATTACCGCGTTGAAAGCCGAAGCCGCCGAGCGGCGGGGACGCGGCCGCAGGAGCCGCAGGAGTCGCCGTGGAGTCCGGCTCGCTCGTGTTCCAACGGCATATCATGCGGATGCCGGCCGTGTCGGGGCCGACGGTGGTGCCAGCCGGCACGGTCTCGGAGGTCGTCGCGTTGCCGCGACGGATCGTGACTTCGGCGCGCACCAGCCACGGCGGCACCTGCGAGTCGTCCCCGCCCGAATCATCCTGACGTCCGTACATCTCGGCCACCGACGCGCCGTCATCCAGCGCGGGGCATTATCGTCTTCTCGTCTACTTATTCTTCTTCTTCTCCTCTTCCTCCTCCTCTCCCGACCGGAGGAGACGATGACGCACTGCTCCCGTGCACGTTCTTCTTCTGCTCATCGATTCCAAGATCGCTCACCGCGAGGACACGCCGGGAGTCCCGTTGCGACGACTAGCGGTCTACGTGACGACGACAACAACAACAACACCTGCGCCTCGGCCAATCTCCCTCGACGAGTACCGGGGGGGAGGACGATCTTATGTAATGACGTCTATTTGCGAGCGCCTTCTCCGCCGACCCTCGTCCGTAGCGCAGTTTTTCCCGGAAGGATGGCAATACTGCGATATCGCATCGCGCACCCACGGTCTATTTTCGGTGGGTCGGACGGTCGCCTTGCTCCGAGAGAACTGTCCGAGTTTCTTTTCGCTCGGACGCGGGGAATTGTAGCTGCGCCGTTGCCCCCGAGGACGATTTCGCCGTGTCGCTTCTCCCTCCGCCGGCGAGTAGGTGTCTTTCGCGCGCGCCGAGAGACCGCGAGATCGCTCTATATTAATTCGCGCACGTCGCCGCGCATTGCACAATACTTCCGCGATTGTCGCAACCGCGCGTGCACGCACACACACACACACCACCGACGTGCGGTACTCCCTCTCGCAAAGGCAACAAACTGAGCGATATAGAGCGACCACGCGATGCGTATAATTAGCACAATGTAAATTCGGAGCGACGTGCGGTCGCGTCTACCGAGAAATACGTCTCTGGAAATAAGGCGGCACTTTTGCGTACGACGCCCGCCGACGCAATAACGACGTGGCCGGGCGGCCAACCCAGTCCGGGGTGAGGAAAGCGCGACGCGTTACGGAAGTCGACCTCGGCCGGCGACTTCCTCGGGGACTGCTGCTCGGTCTCGACTAATGCCGGCGATTCCCCGTCACTGGAGGACACCTCGTGGAACGAAGCGTGAGATCATCTCGATTTCGGACGGATTAATCAGCTCTGAAACATTCCTGCGCGTCACAACACGCGCGGCCGACGGAGCGAGCGTGCGAACGCGGATCAAACGGGAGCGGAACAGGAGCTCGACTTCCGCTCTCGAGGTGAACGAGCGAGTTCGCGCTCGGTGCACGGGTATCTTGACAATTTAAATCGATTCTGAAACAGACGTCAGTCTTCTCGGGGCGTTTTCAGATGAGAAAAAGCGGGGAGGAAGAGATAGAGAGAAAATGAGAGAGAGAGAGAGAGACGGAGGGAAGGAAAGAGGAACGTCCAACAAGGCGAACGGCTGTGGGCGGCTTCGTGTCAGTCTTCGGGTGTTCAGATCATAATTAATGGCTGCGATTATCCGGACGCAGGCTCGATATCTTGCTGGGTATCCACTTGACGGGCGTGTACGTTCCACGAGCGCCTCCTTCGCGATCGGCCGGTGCACATGTCGTTGGTTTATCGCGGTGCTTACGACGACTGGGTGATGCCAGTTCTCCTCGAGAGATGGTAACTAAGCGCGACCCGAAAAGGCGTCACGAGAGACGGCGGGGCAGCGGGAAATTGGGAGAGCTATTTTGAGAGAGGCGCGTCGTCGTCGTGGTTCTCTCTCTCTCTCTCTTCTCGCTCGCTCCCTTTCCACGCTGACCGTCGCTCGCCCCGACGCCGCGGTCCGGGTGTACGAAGAGTCGTTTTCGTACCGGCGCACATCCGAGAAACGATCGCTCCTCGCCGAAATCTCGCTCACGTTTGCGCGAGGAGATCGTTCATCGTGAGGGGATCAGCCTTCAGCGGCAAAGATTAAAAGATTATCGTACACGGAAGAAACAATTTCGTTGGTGTAATTGAATTCTCCTGGGAACCGAACTCGGTTGTAGGAACAGATTCTCGTGGGAGGTTCATGCTCAGGTCAATTGCTCAGTCAGTTGCCTCAAGCGAGTTTTAACGCAGCCGAAGGCTCGCACGAATGCATGCTCTCGGTATAATTCTTCCAAAATTGTCTCTCCCCATTTTCCCGTGAATTTTTGGGTTTCTCATCTTCTTCGCAGAAAAAGTCAATGCCACAGATGTTTTAACCGAGAATGCGAATGTGAATTTTTCCCAAAAAATTTTTGTGGAAATTTGTAAAAGAATTGAGAAGAAAAAAACAGTTTTTTCGGAACTTTGAAACCATAGTTTTCAGTCGCAGTGATAGAGACATCATTTCTTGTCATCAAGTTTTCATCTGGTGGTCCCCCCGTTCAGTTGGAGAAACTGAGATTTTTTCTTCCGTACAATTGCCGCACAAAAAATGATCCGTAAAAGACACGGAAAAGTACCTCTGTTACCGAAAACATTCATCTGGGTATTCCGTTGTACCGAAGCTCAGTTGAGATAACTGCGAATGTTTGACTCGGCAGAACCGTCCTGCAGGAATTTTCCTGTCCCTACAAACGAGTTTTCCCTCTGGTTCGTATTCTTCCTAGCCCCCCCCCCCCTCTTCTTCATTCACCTGCACTAATGGAGCTGTTTTCTTTCCGTGTAGTGTAACAGAATTTTCCGTTGCCTGGGAAAAATTAGAACGAAAATTCAGTCACGAAAATTCAGTGACGAGAAATCATATCTCTGTTATCGCGACCGAAAACATTTATCTGAGTATTCCGCTGTACCGAAGCTCGCTTGAGATAATTGAGGACAATTGACCCGGCAGGAACTTCACGCAGGAATCTTTCCGTCCCTACAGATAAACTTTCCGTCTGGTCCATTCCCAGATTTCTCACTCCTCATTCACTTGCACTAACGGAGTTGCTCTTTCCGTATAATGCAACAGAATTTTCTGCTACCTGAGAAGAATCAGGAGCAAACGGAAAATTCGGTTGTAGAAACAGAAAGATTCTCTCATGAGAATCTCATCTCCAGTCAATTGTTCACAGTTATCTAACTCAGTTACCGAGTTCCAGCGCAGCTGGATGTTCAGACGAGCGTTTTCGGTCGCGATAACGGAGATTCAGTTCCTCATCGTGGAATTTCCATCTTATTCGATTCTCGCACGAGCTGACGACATTCTCCGTTCCGTGCGGAGAAGATTTTCGCTAGGGAAACAGAGTTCGCTCTCAATAATCGGAATTTTCTCTCGCTCGGAAGCGAGATATTCTCGTACATTATCTACGAGCATTCCTCGCCACGTTCTGTCGTTGACGCAGAAATCCAGCCAGCGCGCGTATTGTATTTTTCCCCGAGGAGGCGAAGTCGGACGATTTCAACATTATTACCGTTTCGAAATCACCCCGTCAGAGAAGTGACGTGAATTATTCGCTTCTAACGCGCGCGCGCACACACACACACGCTGCGCATTTACAAGACCTTTTCGAGATTGCGTGTCACCCGAGTCGCCGCTTCCGCCTGCCACGTAGACGGGCGACGAGTCGGAGAGGAAACTGCAACAGACCTACCTCGGTTAGAGCCTTCTTATCAGCGACTTTGGCACTTTGTAGAAGACGTATCACGTTCTTGGCACCTTCCACGACGGCCGCTTCTATCCGCAATCGATGCCGCAGCTCCTCCACCCTCTCCTCCAAGGCGAGCTCCAAGCTGGGCTCATACCTATCTATAAAGCGTCATTACGTTTATTGACGCACTCACAGTCGGCGACGATGGTCGCGGGCGGCCGGCTAATCGTTATCCCCGCGAAAGCCTCCGTCGTCTATCGATCGCGAACCGATTGTCACCTTGCGTAACGCGCGCCACCCACGCGTCGCGTTGCAAAGAGCAAACGGTTACCGCCGCTGTCGGGACGTATCCTTCCGCGAACAATGCGCCTCCTTCCAAGAAACCGTCTATTTGTTCGATGACGAGCTCGCTCGCTCGCGCGCGCTACGCAACATTGTTGCGCGCCTTCCTGCGCGCTGAATGCGAACTCCCCCGCGGTGAAATACGCGCGCGGATGTGTATATCGCCGTGTTCCGGGGCAGTTTCATTGCCGCGGTAAATGTCAGCGCTCACTGTCCCGCCGAGGCCGACGTAAACTTCAAACAGGTAATAATGAAAGAAGGAGAGAGAGAGAGAGAGAGAGACGCGTGTGCAGCTTAACGCGGCGGTGCTCGTACGCAAACAATCGGAACGCAAAGTCGACGCTACAATAGCCGCGCATCCGAGACTGTTTAACAGAAAGAGGAGGCCTCTGACGTGCGAGCGCGTATCAGCGGTTAAATAAACGCGATATTTTTAGCGGCGCCTACATTATCTGCGCAACGGCATAGATACCGCCGGGCGAGCGAGAGGTAACGCGCGACTTGTCGCTCGGAAATTCGCCATTGTATCGGCGTCGGGGTGAGAAGAAAAGAGGAAAGAAAAAACGGAGAGAAAGAGGGAGGGAGGGAGGGAGGGAGGGAGAGAGAGAGAGAGAGAGAGAGAGAGAATCGTATCGCCTGTGTTGCGCCTGTGCGAGATGCGTTTTTAAAGGGCAAAGTTTCAACGGCGATGTTTCTCCCTTTCCGATGAAGTCTTTACTCCAGTCGAGATTTTGACGCTGCTTCGACACTCTCAAGGACAGTTTGCGCCTACTCAGATGGTGTGACCAATGAAGACCTACTTTGGCGATACTACACCTGTCAATTTCTCTCTTAGAACCTTTAATTCTATGGATTTAATTTTGATGTTACCTTGAAGCTATAAAAACTTCGACTTTTCCGGTGATTAAGTTTATACGAGTGTTAAAAGTAACCATTTTTTGACGCTAAAAACAATAAAAACGGAAATTTGAGAAATCTTTAAGATTATAATAATTTAATAATTTAAGAAATCTTTAAGAATTATCATGGTCAAAATAGGAGTAAAATAGATCATTCGAAACGAACTTACTTCGATATCTTAGCTTTTGCTGTGTATCGTAGGACTAGAGATTTAATATAGGGTCAACATTTCGACTCGGATATTCCTACAATCGTTGAACAGCGAAACCACACCGAAATCAAAGTAACTTGGAGTCAGTCTGACTCGTCTGGTTTTTTCTGAGTTGAAAGGTAAAATTTCACTCGACTTTTCTCTCGACAAAGCCTTAATCTTGTTGTGTTCAGCAATTTGCACGCAAAAAATATTGCTAGCTACAAACCACATGTACCTTTATTGCTGGTCGCTTCGCCGTTCGGCGGCGGCGCGTCGCCCCGCGCGTGTTGCTGCTGCCGTGCCTGGCGCACCTTCATGATTCGCATTCGTAGGAACTCGATTTTGGCGCGGGAATCGTCCAGCATCTGTTGGGCCTCCTGCAGTAGCTTCTTGTCGCGATGGCCGCTCGTCAAACTCTGTATCATGTTCTCAGCACCCTGCTTGACCTGTCGTGAAGGGAAGAAGAAAGAGATTGGAGAAAATTCCACTTCCACCTCGTTGTGACTTATTTATCCATCTTTCTTAACGCGATATAATCGTAGACACACGTTGAACAGGTATCGATTCGGCAATTTCACGCGCTAGCTCGGCGCACGCAAAAATCCGAACGCGCGTCTCGAGAGAAGAAAGGAAGAAAATGAGAGATGATTACGCATAATTAATGCCGCTGCATCAATTAATACTTCTGCATTAACACGTAATAACTGAAAACCCCCGTTACTCTAATTATTTCGAGTCTCCGCGTGCGCGCGCGCGCGCGTATGTATGGGTGTGTGTGCGCGCGTGATGTAACGAGAGATTATTTTTAGTAGGGGGGAAAAACTGCGAGCGACTCAGTGCGCTGACTCACGCGAGGCCGATACACAAGAAAAGTGAAAGAGAACCACCGAAGTTCTGCGTAATCATCCGGAAAGCGCCGAGCAATTACCTGCCGGGGTGATTATTCCGCGAGCATTAACGAGAAATATCGATAATTACATTAATAAGGATGTGCGTTATCGGGCTTCCTCGATATTGTAGTTAACGCTCTCTCGAAAAGTCTCTCGATAACGCGGCGATAACGGAGCTCGCTCGCGAAACAGATCGCGAAACCTGTTTGCAGGATGAAAACGAGCGCGAGATTTCGACGACGCGGAGCTCGCGGCGTCTCTCACCTTCAGTTCGATATTGAGCTGCTTCTCCAAGGACAGAAGACGAAGATCCGTGAATAGACCTTCCTGACTCGGCGACGAAGGCCCCATCGGTGATAGAGGCGTGTCTGAAACAAAAATAGACGTTCACCGAATGAAAGAATCCAATATCATCTAGCGTAATGGCTGCGCGCGACGTACGTCTCGCGATCTTACGTCCCCGCGCGATAAAAAAAATTCAACGCTCGGAGGACCCATTCTGGAAGCACACAGAACGCTGAGTATCCACTCTCTTGATTCCAAGTTCCGCTTTTCTCACACGACCGCCACGTATAGCGTTACTTCAGCTTGAGAATCAGAAAGGCGTACTTAACGTTCGATAAGCATCCAGTTCAGGCTTATTCTGTAATTTTTAAGGTAATTAGTCCGTCAAATCATTTTCTTAGGAATTTAAATTTTAACCTCATATTAATGGAGAAATACTATCTATACGTCTGTAAAGTTAGGATTTCAATGAAAAACTGTGATATTATGGACTAATATAGAGACATTATACAAAAATGTCAGAATTATTGATAATTTCGTTTCGAAAATGTAGTCATAGGAAATTTACAACTTATAGTAATATCCGTGATGTACATATCTATATATGTAAATATTTATATACTATTCTATTTCTATTATGCGGGCACCCCTATCTGCTCAACTGACGTATAAATAAAGTATTAATAAAAAAATATAAATAACATCTCCGTGTTTGTAATATTGTGTGTACGCATATATTTGACTTCATTTTGCATAAAATTAACATTTATTACTTATAATGAATTTGACCACCCGCGTGGAATTAGTGCATATTAAAAGCCGCTATGTATAAAATATCCAAATATAATAGCATGAGTACTTTGAGGATAAAATAATTAACGTATATTTCGTTAAATAACATGACATCATTATTGGGTATTTTATTGTTGCAAAGTTGTTTAGATGCTTTTTCATTTAAATAATTGCTTCATGTATAACAGCGTGCACTCAAACGGTGTAGAAATGGGGGGATGATCGAATTCGTTATTAAAGTTAAATCAAGTTATGGGAAAGTTAATTAAAAATCGTCGCTGAAAATTCGGTATTCCACGGACCAAATATCTTGACGAGGCGTCGCCGCTCTTATCGTTTGTTATCGCGCAGTTTATCTACGATATATTATACTTGCGTAACGGCAATGTAAAGATGACTGTTGTTGGAAGTTACCGAATAGAACCGTCCGACGCATCGGAAAATTCATTTCCCGGATGTTCCGCTCCTCCCCCTTCTAATCTGCTCCGCTTTCTCACGCTCGACATTTCGCTCAGCGCGATGTACGCGCGTAGGTTCCGCTTTAATTTCGGCGCGAATACGCCACCACTACGCGGCGTCTCCACGTGCCGTATCCGACGATCCCCCCCCACCGATAGCGAGATCGTAGGACTGCGCACTTGGATCCTACTTTCCATAACCCGGTGCTGACACGTCCAAGACACACCACTCCCACGTACTCGAGCAGTTACCGAGTACACTCAGGGGAGTGTGGAAAAAGAGTGATGTTCCGCTTTGTTTCAGGCACGCACCGTTATGAATTTCCCATCGCTTCCTTTTCACCGCGCCGGCACACGCACGTACGCGCGCGTGCACGCCGCTGTCTATTATAAACGCCTTCGAGACGCGAGGACGTCTCTGAAAGGGCGCGAGGAGAGGATGATATCGCGCCCGAGAGAGGTCCGACGCGTTGGAATATCGTTATGCATGCAAATAAACCCGCGGCCACAATTCATATACGCGAGAGAGGTAATATTTGTAACGTGCATTAATGTAATGTATATAGCAGCGCGAAAGCGGGCGAGAGAGAGGTACTTAACTCGCGCCAGAACGGTGTGGGAAACGCGAGTCGTAATTACGAGCGTTATTTCCGCGCCAGCCGGAACTCCCGACAATTACATTCATCAATGCGCCTTACGTAATCGCGTCGTCGTTCTGTCTTTCGTCGTTCTTACACCGTACGCGTTCCTATAATGAACGTCGACGCGCGCTCTCTAATGTCTTCTTGATTGCGAGTCGGAGGAGGATGTTCGCGCGATGTCGTCATGTTTTCGGATAATCAGCGTATATTATCCTCCCTGTCGCCGTGGAGTTCGAATTGATCGGACCGTTTCATGATTTTCACCCGAACAACGATCGGAAAGAAATTGAAATCAACGTCATACGATGATACGAACGATTCATACGAAATTCAAGTGAAACATCCTTGTTCGCACCGAAGCGATCTCCGATCTGGACAACGCGAGCTGCAGGGGATCTAATACAGCGACGTTAATCGCTCGGTCCTCGAGCGCGCGATCAACACCGGTCGTTACGCTACTTTTACTCGCGTTTTACGTACACCGTCGCACGCGCGACACACGAATTCAGCTCGTTAGGGCCGATATGTGGGGCGCTTTTTCCTCCATTCAAGTACGCCAATTATGCGTCCCGTACCTGGCCGCCGCGCGCGGGAAGCCACCGGCGAACACGTGTGTGCGGCGTGCGTGCACGCTTCCACGATTTCCCTACGCGCACACGCACGTCGGGATAAACGACGCGTAGTGCCCGTTCGACGCCAATGGACGAACGGGCGGACGAAGCAACGATGAACACACACACACATTCTCTCTCTCTCTCTCTCTCATTCTCTCGCGCCGTCTACGCACACGAGAGCGCGCCGACGAGCCCGAATAAGGCCAGGTAGAGGGTAGGTGTGAGGAGGAGCGAAGACGAGCGGATGCACTCGATTTTTTACGCGACGCTTCAAACGCCCCGTCCGCCAAAAAAGTATGCTAATCGCCGACCGGCAAGAGTAGAAATCGCGCTCGGACGGTCCCGAGGAACATGCGGACGCCATTTGTCTATTCCGATACTCGTGATATCATTTCTATTACTTCGTCATAAGCGGGATGCATGTTCCAGGAAGTTCTGCGATGATTCGTGTCCGATTAGATAGAGGCGGAATTGGCTGATCAGAAGGACACCGTATCTCGAACGCATCGTTTCTGCACGCATTTTGCACGCCCGGCGGAAGGAAGCTTTTTTTACGAAACATCCGATTCGTCGTCGAGAGCAACATCACGTACGTGTGTGACGGCGATCATTTTTCCGCATAAATACATCAAGTCTGCTTTACGCAATGAAATTTATAGTTTTCAAGTCGGAAAAACTCTGTTTTTACTCTCCGTTCATAATTTCTCTGCAGATTTCTTCGATTTGCGTCCTAAAGATTCGTTTGGAAAAATTCACGCATGTTCGGTTAAAACCTGTCACACTTACTTTCCTCCGTAAGAAATTAAAAAAATCCGCAGAGAAATAGGAAAGAAATGGTTTCTTCCGAAATGTTAAAACTATAATTAAATTACATGAACAAAAGAACACGGGACGAGTTGTGGGAAAGGTTCCATGTTAACGAAGATATAATTGTCATTTAAGCGCTTATTATGGAAATGCCTGGAAAAATTTCCGACCGGAATCGTTCAATTATTTCTTAGATTTCTATTGTGTTTTCTAAGGAATAACTGAACAATTCCGGCCGGAAATTTCTCCTAACAGTTTCATAATATGTGCTCTGGACAGATATTATGAAAACTATTTGGAAAGATTTCCGGTCGGAATAATTCCTAGAAAACACAATAGAAATCTCGAAAATAACTGAATGATTCCGATTTGGAATTCATTTCCGAATAGTTCCATAAAGGCCTGTCAGACTTGCATAGTCTCGTAATGCTTATGCATGAGGGAATCAACCAATCATGATCCGGGCAGAAAAAGGATGTCTTCTATATTAGATACATGATTGGTCAATTTCCTTCTGCATTATGCGACTATGCAGGTTTGTCTGGCTAGGCCTTAATAGATGCTCCGGATATCCATCACGGGATTGTTCGGAAAGATTTCCGATCTCGAAATCTTTCAGTCACACAATAGAAATCTAGAGAAGAACTGAACGATTCCGATCGGAAATCTTTCCGAACATTTCCATAATTGGTGTCCTGAACTGCAGGATGATTCGACGAGTAAATCGCGCGCATAAATAAACAGATGCAGCCCATCCAGCCTTGGGCGTTCGAGATATCGTTAGTAGTTTTCTCGGACAATCGCAGGGCAGCTATTGTTCCCGCGGCACGAGAGAGGCAGACACGCGTCGAGAAAATCGAAAGAGTGAGAAAGAGGGNGGGGGGGGGGGGGGGGGAGAGAAACGAGAGAGGCCGAGTCAGCAGGCTCGCAAACGGATGCACATACGCGCATACAGGCGCCTACAATGCGGCGAAAACGACGACGACTGCGGAGGTGGAGCAGGAGGGGAGGGGAGGAGACGGCGGGCATAAAAGAGTTCGCGGGGACAATGCGGCTCGGCATCGAGAGCTCCGCGAAACCGTGTCATTAGCGCAGCGCGGCCGAACACGTGCCCCATTATGCGCCGCATTCCTGCCCTTGCCGCACGCGGAGGCCGGCGACAAAGGCTTTCCTTGTTTTTGATACCAACACACCATCGTCGTCTTCGTCGTCGTCCCGTCACTCGTCTACCCCTTCCGCCTGTCTCCGTTCTTCTGCATCCCCTCGCGCGGAACGTGCGGGGGAAATGAGGCTATCGATGCATTCGTGTGCGTTCGAGAGGAGGGAAAGGAAGAAGAAAGAAAGAGGAAAAGAAAGAGACGGCAAAGCGGGCTTCAAGAGAGCACAAGGTGGCTGCTCCGCCGAGCCACTCTCTCGTCTCTCCACTTTCGCCCAGTTCAACGACTCCGACACGAGGCGCACGCAACCCTTTCTCAGAGGGAGAATGCGTGCTCTTCCGTAGAGGAATCGCCTCTCTTCGGTGTCCCGAGAGCCACGGATAATTGCTCCCCGCCACTAGCTCGCAGCGAAGGGCTGCGGCCGCGAAGTGGCTGGCGATAGTTATGCAAAATGCGCAGGCGATGCTGCAACCAGGTGCATTGTTGGCAAACGACGACGAAGACGGCGAAGACTACAAAGACGACGACGACGACGCCGCCCGAGTCGAGATTGCATTAAACCTTTAATTCTACAACACCTAAGAGTAAAAATAGAGAAATAAATTTAATTTCGA